GGCGGCCGCGGGGAACTGTCAGGCGGCGTGGGGTGCGGCGCGGGGGTCGGGGTGGGCGCCGGAGTCGGGAGCTGTTGCTCCGGGCCCGGCCTCAGCAAGAGGCGGAGGCAGGCGGCCTGTGCCGGCGGTGTCGCCGGCGGAGGGGTTGTCGGAGTGGCCGGGGGAGGCGGAGGGGGACCCAGCCCGGACCCGGAGGAAGGAGCGGGATACAACAGCGAGGACGAATACGAGAACGCGGCCAGACTGCAGTCCCTGGACCCGGCGACCGTCGAGCAGGTACGGGGGTGCAGGACGGACGCGAGTTGCCGATTGCTCGTCCCTGCCCGGGGAGAACCCTCTGGGTGGCGGCGTGGGCAAGCTGACAGGTCTCGGGCAGGAGCGTTGTCAACACGCGTGGCGTGTGATTGCGAGTATCGGATCACCATGCCTAACGAAACGGATGCTTTGCTTTATCCTGTGATTTGCTTCTGCACTCGTACATCATGGCCGGTGTTATATGTCACTTGATGACTTTAGCATATTTAAATATTAAAGCCCGAAATACCCAGCCAGATACAAGCTTTTATTGTCACCCCCTCTTTGCAACTATTATTCGCGAATTTAAGGCAGCCTTGTTTTTCAGTGGCCCCCGTTTAAAAGTGACCTCTTGGAGGTTCAGACATGACGTTTGTCTTTTGGTTAAGGTTTGTGTCGAATGAGTTTTTTTCCCATAATTACAGACTTTGTGTAGAAATAAGCATTCCACTTTTATTCCAGTCCGGGGTAACAAGTTAGGAACCTTCAGTCCCCCTGGCTAGAATGAATGAGTGTCAAACTTATCATGTCCCTGTGTATAGAGATGACATCCTGCTGTATGTCTGAGCAGCCCGTGTTTAGTGTATTTAATAAATGAGAGAACCAGCTGGAATGGAGATGGAGGGTGTCAATGCTCCTGTGAGTCTGTCGTATTGCAGCTGTTATGACAGATAATCATTTAATAACAAGTAACTTTTTGCAGCTGCTCTGTTAGAAGCCGATTCATACAGGTGCCGTGGCCACGTCCCTGCGTGAGGCAGTGGCCTGGCAGAGCTTTAGAAAGTGCCGAGGCTGGGCTCTGTGGGGAGACGGCTCTACAGCCGCTGCTTGAGTCAGACCCGGTGGCGGGGTTCAAGGCATCACTCGGACATCAGGCTTCCCCTCCTCCGTTCTGTTTTTTTTTGGGATCGCGTGTACCGGGGTGCAGAGCAGGGGTGTGCGGGCGTTGGGTGTGTGAGATGCCCTCATCCGCGCCCTGACCTCCGGGCACAACAGCTCTCTGCACCAAGCCAGTGTGCGGTTACAAACCAGTGTGATGTCATTTACAGCTTTTCGGCATCCATCTGCTTTCACAGACGCACCTTGGGGTGCATTGTTTTCCACCGGGCGCCAATCACCGCCTGGCTTTCAGTTCCGGCGAGCAGTCGCTCCCCACCCCATTGCACCCATATCTCCCAGTACTGGGGTGCGGCCTTCGGTGTGCTTCCTTAACAACAGGCCACCCTGGTTACAGCGAGGGCTGCTGCAGTCTGTCTGCACCCCCGTGGGCTCCCCTTGATCGCTGAAGAAGCCGGTCAGACTGCTCCCTGGCTGGTTCGTGTTTCCCTGCCCCGCAGCCCGGCTCCCAGTCTCTGCTGACCATGTGGGAATGTGAGGGCTCTCCCCAGGGAACAGACCAGGGCCTCTCCTTGGTGTCGTTTGCAGCCGGGCGTGCGCGTTGAGCCCTGATCTCCGGAGAGGGCAGGGGAGGCCATCAACCCGTCTTGTGTGTCAGGCCTGGGCAGGCCGCATCGGGCTGGGAAAGCGAATGTGTTTCGGAGGAGCGTTGCCCCGCGAGAGGACTTTGACTTCCCTGTCTCCTGCTGCACAGAGCCCCGTGTGCTCATCCCAGGGGAGAGTCCGACCCCTGACTCCTCGGCGTTTTCAGAGGTGCTGTCCTGCAGGGGCAGTCAGGGTCGAAACTCTGAGGAACTCACTCGCCGGATGTGACTCCGTCATATCCCAGTCTTCTTTAATCCCAAGCCGTTGCCCTTGAAGATCGGGACTTGGAGGCGTCCGCAGTGCCGCGCCTCTGCTTGCGGATGGGGTCGTCAAAGCGCTGCAGAGAAAACGAAGCTTCGCGTGAGGCTTCTGAGCCTCTGTGAGTTTGGTCAATGTAGCCGTAGTTCTACGTGTTTGTTTTGGCTGTGTCCGCCGGAGAGCGAATTGGCAGAACATCGTTATTAGACTAGCCGCGGAGAAGACATCGCGCGTGCCTCACGGTGCTCCGAGTGAGCCGCTCTGTGGGATAGCCAGCGCTTCAATCGCGGCCAGCTTTCTGTTGGAAAGCGGGGAGCAGCGTGGGGAGCTGCTCATGGCTTCCTGCGGTCCTCTGGACAGTCGGAGCCGATCCCCAGGGCCGAAGGTGTTGCCGCGTGTGGCCCAGGAGGAGAGGAGAGGGATGGGCGCGAGACCGAGCTGGAGCCATTGTCCTGGTCTCTGGATTGAGTTCTCTCTGTGCCTTGTTTCCACTGCGCCACCGCCGGCCCCGCGGTTGTGGTCTGTGCAGCGAGCGCAGCCCGAGGCCAGAGCTCCACCCGTCATGGGAATGTCATCAGGCCGATGCCAGTGTCCGATTGCCCATCACTGAGTAGGCTGGACGAACATCTGATTAATCGCAAAGTCCACGTTTTTACAGCTTCAGGGGTCTCATCGCTCTATAAACAGGTTCAGTTTATTTGATGCCACTTTTGTGGTGTGAAAATGAATTCTTAGGTGCACAATAAATGTGTGTCAGAAGCAGTCTGAGATTGTTGATCACGTGAGGTTGGAAATCGGATAGTTCTGGTGTACCCGTGTTGTGTTCGGGAAGCATCAGTTATCGCAAGAAGAAGTTTGTCTTAGCAATGTATAGGATTTTTGACTGTGACCGTGCAGAGTTATTGTCCATGCATTTTGTCAAAATCCCCACAATATTAGAATATTATTGTCATGATTCTGTTTCTGGACGGATAGAAAAAAAATTTTCCTCCCTTCAGTGCCTGTCAGTTGGTGCAGTAGGCTGACTGCCTGTGCCTTTGAGGTCCTGAGCACTCTCAGAAGGCTCCAGCTGTGTCTGTGTTGTGCTTTAGAGGCCCTGGGCAGACTGGCAGAGAGACCTGACTCAGACTCCAGTGACCCACACCTTGCATGCCAGAGAAGTTTTTTAAAGGCACCGAGTTAAATCACCCTTATTTGCTCATGAGACCCAGGATCTCTACCCACAATCCACCTCTCTATCCCGCTGTTTATCAGCTGTCGTTAATAGCAGAGAACCCTTGCAAACCAGTGTGATGTCATTTACAGCCATATTGTGTGGCTTCAAAACGGTCGTAGAGCTGGCCTAGAAGGCTTGCCGTTTCCCTGGAAGAATGTTATTAACTGGATCTTTCTTTTCCAGGAGTTTAGGGACGTGTTTTTGAGGCTGTGTACCACTGATTAACCTCAGTCTGTAATGGTAATAGTGTGCTTTTGAGTTTTTACAGCTCCACAGAGAACTGATAGAAGACAAAGGGGAAGTTCTGGCCTTTTGACATTTTTAAGGATCTAATTAAAACGTTTACAACTTTGCAAAAATAAAATCTAAAAATTCACTTGATATCAATGATTGCAGTCTTTATTGATTTCTTTTCTTCAGCTTCAGAATTAGTTGTACTGTGTTAAGTGAGGGGTGGGTGTTTGTGTACTGTTTGCTGTTACACTAAGTGCTGCAGTGGTAGGCTGTGCTTCAGGCTTTTTAGAAGCATGCATGTTCCCAATGGCTCACATTCTGGAATCTATTCACCTTGCTTTATGTATGAATCAATTTGTTCAGTCAAGTCATTGAGAGCCGGACTAGAACAGCTGTAGCTCTCTAGGTTCTCCGCTCAAAACATCATCCAGTGCAGATTGTGGTGCTTCTTACAGAACTGTGGTTGTGAGGCACTTGCAGCATTTGTTACCTGTTTAAACTATTATTAAAGACGCTGGGGCTTTTCTTAAATGAAATACATCATTTGCAATGTGCAGGCACCATGTTGTATATCAGGCGGATGCTTCCTGTTACAGTTAAAAAAAAATGAAATGATGAATCAAAGAATCTGTTGAATCTTGTTTTTTTTTAGCCAACTTTACATTTAAAGACGTTTAAAAAACTTGCCTTCATTTTCAGTCTTCAGCTTTGGAATGACTTTAAAAAAGGTGTTACACCGCTTTTCATATTTGAACTCTTCAGGTTTCAGGTCAGAAAATAGTGTTTGCAAATTTGAATGAAAGTGTTTTACTCCCGTTCGAGTCCTTACAGCCCTGTTATTTACTGGGAAATGCCAAACGTAATTAAAGAGAAGCGTATGACTTTGATATGACTTCTTAGGTCCGAGTTGCGTTCTCGGAGCAGATGTGGTCAGGAGCCCAGGCTGTCCGGCGGGAGGGCCTGGAGACACGAGTCGGCGGGTGTCTTGTCTCGGGCGGACGCGCGACGCGCCCTCCTCTGTCTCCCTTCTGTCTTTTCAAGCGAGTTTCTCTTTCTCGCAGCAGGAACACCGCTTCGAGAAAGCGCTGGGGGAAAAGAAAGGATTCGTCATTAAAAAAATGAAGGAAGACGGAGCGTGCCTCTTCAGAGCGGTTGGTAGGTTGGCATCTCTTTCAGTTGACACCCGGGCCAGGAAGAGGGGGTGCGCTGCAGGGGGCCCCAGTAGGTCGGCCTACAGGAGCCCCTCTCAGTGTGGACAGTCATAGCGGTTTTGTTAAAATACCACAGTAACATGTTAGGGCCCTCAATCAACCCATGCCACTTTCCGATTCTGCAGGAATCTCTGGCCCTCTTCATTAAAACCCCCTTTTTAATCAGGGCCAGGGTCGTGCAGTGTAGCAGACTGCTTGTAAAGTTAGAAAAGGCGCAAAACCACTTCTGTGCCACCTCTAGAGTTTCAGACTTTCCCCAGAACTTTCCCCTTGTCATTTCTGTGTTGTCCAGAAAGACTGCTCAGTCCTGTTCACATTCCTAAGCAGAACCAAATAAGAGTGTTTTTTCCATTTGAGTATGGGTGGAATTAACTTTATTAAGGTGTTTTTATGTATTTTTTTTGTGATTATGATAATGTGGTGTTTTGTGTAAAACCCGAGGTAACACAGATATTAACAGTTTCGTATCAAATTCCTCTGACCCATTGATCTCAATCAGTTGTCCTCTCACGTACTGTTTGTGAATTGTTCATAAAGGAAATCGTCAAAGCCTGCAGAGCTCATGTTGAGTTGAAAATTATTTTTCTGTTGTTTGGTTGGTACAAGTACAGTGGACTTAGTGCTGTTCCAATACCAAGTAGTTTCAGTAATTAAGCAATGCTCACAAGACGACACGAGAGGGCGCTGTTCACTGAAAATTGCTTTGATGTTATTGCCTTTGACGTCTAGAAATCTCAGGGTAGGTTTCTAACCTGGGGTTGTAGGCTTGTACAATTATGGTGACTCTCACTGGATTAGTTTCAGACATGATTCCACCCTTGAATGATTCATTTAAATGTGTCTAAGATCTTACTGACAGCTAGAATAAGTCATAGGAAATGTTCTAGGTAGTGTTGTGGCAAATGTCATCCAGGTGGGGCTGCACATTGGTGGTGGTGGAGGGGATCCCCATTACCTGTAAAGCGCTTTGAGTGGAGTGTCCAGAAAAAGCGCTATATAAGTGTAAGCAATTATTATTATTATTATTATTATGAAATGAAAAGTATGTAAGAACATTTTAAGAAAGAATACAAATAAGAGGAGACCTTTCATCTTTCATTGCATAGAGATTTTGGGGTCATTAGTAGCTAATCCAGGGATCTCACCCAGCTGTTTCCTGAAAGGAGCCAGGATATGAGCTTTAGCTATATAGTGGCTTGTTCCACGCCTCTATCCCCCGAGCTGTGGAGTGTTTTGTTTTTGCAAATGAGAACTCTTACAGTATGTAGGCCGTCAGCTTCTTCTCCCCTGGGCACCGCAGGTGTCTGAACTGTTGCCGAGGAAGGGCAAATCCGAACTTCTTGCCCCCAGACTGGGGGTTTCTCCTATTATAGGTCCCTAGTCTTTTCTCACGGGCTCTAATCAGGAGCTTTCAGAGGAGCAGTGGGCAGCTGGTTAATCTGTATGACCAAGGCAGTGGCGCGGAGCAGTTCTCTGGACGCTGGACTGGACGATGGGCAGGCCTGTTCTGCCCTGAGTGCTGTGTGCTCCAGCAGTTCCCTCAATAGAGGCCCTCCTGTGCAGTATAAATGGGCCTCCAGGTCATCCCTGTGACTGTGAATACCGTTTTTCTCGATTGACCGATGAGGTAAAATAAGCAGATAAAAAAATGCTCTTCCAGGCTGGCCTGAAGCTTATTCTTTGGTGTGAGGGCTGAAGATCTTGGCTTCGGAAGAGACATGTCTGTCAGACAGATAGATAAGACTTTACTGATCCCGAAGGTAAAATTGAGGTGTTACAGCAGCCCAGCCCAAGACAAGCAAAAACAGACATCGGAATAGACGAAAAATTAAAATAAGTACAGCAATATAAAATAAATAGGTGTGTGCAAAATATGCCAATAGTTAATGTAAAACAATATAATATATGCAAAATGCTCATAGGTATATACAGATGGAAAGTACCACAATATAAACAGTATATTAATGCAGTGTCCAAAAAGTACATTAGTGCAACATGCTGTCCATAGACAAGCAGATGAAGGGCTAACAGTCCTGGCCTAGGGCAGTGTTATACACCCTGACAGCCACCGGGAGGAAGGACCTGCGGAAATGTTCCCCTGAACACCATAGCTGGAGCAGTCTGTTACTAAAAGTGCTCTGCTGTCTAATAACAGAATAGTGGTGCCAAAGTGCACAAATGCACTACACTGCTCCTAAACCCAGTTACACGAGATTCCTATGAAGAGTTCCCTTTCTTCCCTCATTTCATTTTTTTAAAAAAAGTTTAAAGGAAGAGTTCATCATGGAGGTGTGTGACTTTTACTTCTCTGTTGTTCATTCACATGAGAGCTTTGCCCCCTCTGCGCTCTGTATCAATGCAGAATTTTAATAGGCTCTTGATAGTCTTGATTGGGCTGTTAGATGTCAGGTTTTAAAGTATAAGAAAATGCATGCCTGTGTTTTAAGTATCAGAAGTCTGTTTTCTCAGTGCTTGGCTGTCACTGATAGAGCTCAAAACCCTTTTTTTTTTCCTCTTAATGCTTTGTCTGAACCGTTCTGAGCCCCTGGTTTTTCTTGCAGAAACAAGAAGCTGTTCTTCTGGCCTGTGGGTGCTCTTTGGGGGGGAAAATAAATGCGTGATATTTTTGTAGAAAGGGGCCATTATTTTAAGACATTCCCGTCAGTGTTGTCGCTTCAGAAACTAGAAAACTAATTTTACCTTGCTGAAGAAAGGCTGTGCTTGTGGTCAGGGGAGGGGGGGGGGTACTGTATCAGATTGACAGAGCTCACGCTTGGTTCCAGTAAGACCCTCGTATCGGATCTGCCCTGCGGTTTAGTCGGGTTTCTAAGAAGTGAGCTCTGATGTGGCTTTGCTGGTGGCGGCCAGTTATCAGGTGTTACACTTACTCTGATCTGTTCTCTGGATTCCGTCCAGAACGGAGCACCCAGACACCGTCCCTGGCAGGGTACAGAGTGGGCTGGTGGAACTGACGCGCCTTTTGAACGGGGAAGAGCGAGAGGGAGACCCGGGTCAATCAGTCCAAACCCTCTCTTGGGCATCGACTGCATTAGCCCAGTGGATTTCTTCAGTCCACAGCAGGGAAAGCTGAGTCTGGGCCCACAAGTGGGAACTAGATGGACATGCGAACAGGGCTCAGTTCTATACGCAAAGAGTTATGGGAGTGTGAAACAAAACAAACTCAACTGTGTTGCCAAAGCTGATACTCGGGTTTCTTTCATAAAGCAGATGGACGAGATCCTTCAGTTACTCAGCTGCTAGCAACCAAAAGGGTTGGGATGGGGCTTCCTTGGTGCTGTTCATTTTTCTCCTTCCACGTCCCTTTACAGTGAAGAGCCTCATTCAAGTTCCTGGTGTAGTTTATTAACGCTTGATTTCCGTTTTATGAATGCCATTTTAAAGATTAGTTCTGGTCGTATTTTTTTGAATTCGTTTTGTTACTGTTATTGTACCTGCTTAAGATTGCTGTGCTTGTGCTTGTCATGTCCTCTAATGGCCCTCATCGCCTGCATCTTAGCTTCTAATATGAGATTTTTGAGATTGATGGATCCTTAAACCTCTGTAAGTCCCATAATTCTGTCAGAAGAGAATACCATTGCTCGATTTGGTCTAAAAACACTTTTCTTTCTTTTGTGTTGAACAGACGGGCGGCTCTAATGTTGTTAAATGAAATATATCAAATTTATCTTCCAAGAACTGGACAGGATCTGCTTCTCAATCCTGTCTGTTCTTTTTTTTTTTTCCTGCTCTTGCAGTTTCACTGTGGAGCTGTCTCTATGGCTTCGGCTGACCAAGGCGGAGTAGAATATAAATATTAAAAACAATTAATTTGGTCTTTTAAGTACTACCCCTGCCCTTAAACAGAAAATTAATACATGAGCAAATAAACATTATGGCATTTTTTTGCTTTCTACAATGAAGCACCAGACAAAAGCTGAACACTACATTTCTAGCTCTCAGGCTGTATTCCTCAGCTGTGAAAAGTTATCTTGGGTGAGAAAATTTCAGCTTCCTGTTTCTGATATTTACCCACATGGTTTCAACCAGGTGCGCCAGAAGGTTAGATTTCTTCGGAATTTCCCAAAGCAATCATGCATACGAAGACGAGAAGCACAACACCTTTTGTTTATTTCTCCCTGCCAGTGTCCAGCGTATTTCTGAAAGCCCTGGGGTTTTCCTCCATGCACTGAAGGACAGTGGTGCTTCCTGGTTTCTTTCATGGCCTGGATTCTGCGTCTTGTTCTGTGGAGTGTGTGTGTGTGTGGGGGGGTGTTACAGGGTGCACTGTTCACAGTGGGGGTGAGCGCAGTGGAATCCTAGCCAATGCCTGAAGCTCTTGTGGAGTTATAATTGGCATCCTAAAGCTCTGCTTAATCCACTTTGCGCTTGGCTTAATCATATACACCAAGGCCTTGAAGCCCCTGGGGCGCTTCTAATTAATCTTGTGTGAGCCTAAAGGAGCTGATGAGCGAAGCCTGACTTGCTTTATTTCAACTGTATATGTATATTTCAGTGAATGCCCGATGCTCTGCTTCACTCCCTTCATAGCATAAGCCTCCCTCCCTTTGAAACCAAAGTCTCAGGACTTGGTGAATGATGGTAAACGTATCTCCTAGATTGCAAAAATACAAACAGGAAATAACTGGCTTTGTGGTTGGCGTCCGAGCAGTGCGCATGAATGAAGGAGCCACTAGAGGGAGTGGTAATAACCTTCTTTCTTCAGCTTGCTCTTCTCTGTCGGGCTGCTTGGTAATACACAGGGGGTACGAGTTGCAGGTGCATGCATTCCACTTTTCCTGTGTAAATAATTTTCAATGCAAATCAATACTAATTTGGTAGAGACACGCAACCCATTTCTTCTTGAGGTCACTGACACACACACACACACTCTCACATGCCTTGTGTATATCAGGTTTGCAGAAGTCTAAGGTTTAAATGGGTCAG